TTTTTTTTTTAAAGATTTTATTTATTTATTTATTTATTTGAGAGAGAGAATGAGATAGAGAGAGAGAGCATGAGACGGGGGAGGGTCAGAGGGAGAAGCAAGACTCCTTGCTGAGCAGGGAGCCCGATGCGGGACTCGATCCCGGGACTCCAGGATCATGACCTGAGCCGAAGGCAGTCGCTTAACCAACTGAGCCACCCAGGCGCCCCCTTTTTTTTTTTTTTTTAAAGATTTTATTTATTTATTTATTTGAGAGAGAGACTTACTGTTCCTCATCTTGTTTCCCTGCTGTTGTCCCCGCTGAGCTGGGGGGCCTCACTGTTCCCCCTCTCCTCCCCACCACCCTCAGGCAACTCCAAGGACCCTCTCCTCTCTTCCTTGACCCTCACACCCTCTTTAGAGGCTCCATTCCCCACCTACCCCGCAAGGAACCCAGGGGCCATCCTCAGGCCTGTAGCCAGCTCCTTCCTGGGGAAGGATCTGCTAAGCCAATTCATAGCCAGGAGGTGAACTAGGCATACCCAGGCCTTCCCCGGGAATATGTGCACTTCACAAGAAGCTGCAAATAAGAAGCACAGTCAGCCTGGAGGAGGGCCTCTCCCCTGGCAGTTTAGCCTTGTGGTTAGGGCCACAGGCTCTGGAGCTGAAGAGTTCAAATCCTGGCTAGACCATCCACTAGCCAAGCGACCTGGGCCACCTGCTTTGCCTCGCCATGTCTCAGTTTCCTTGTGTGCAAAACAGAGATGTCGTCAATGTACCCATTTCCTTAACACAGGGAAAGCACTCAGAACACATCGGGCACATACTAAGGTCTAGGTAAACATTAGCCAGTAGTGCTTATTAATGGAAGGATTTTGAACACTGGGCTTCATAGGTAACTGCCCATGTCTGCCCAGGGCCGCGTGCCGGCCACATCCAGCCTTAGCCCTGGTGCTGTTGTCAGAGAGTTGTGCTGCAAGGGATGCCAGTGTCCAGGCTCTCAGGCTGGGACTCATCCTCTTGGGCAATCTCCTTGGGAATAAGGATGAGAGCGACAGTGGCTGGATGAGGGGCGAGTCTGTAAGAGTATCCCTTAAGCCAGGGCATAAATGGAGGGGAAAGGAACTTGACCTCCACCCTCTGCCATTTCCTTTAAGTTCAGCTCCCCTGTGAACTGGGGGCGGAGCTTGGTGTGAGAGATGTGGGGCGCGGGGGACTGTTGGTGAATCACTGGGTCTGTGCATTCTGGGGAACTGGGAACGAGCGGGATTCTCCGGCAGCAGGTTTCTTCTGCATGAATCTGCAAAATGGCAAGAAGACTCAAGTCCTCCAGGCAAGGAGATGGGCAGTGGGGCCCTGCTCCGGTCACTCCTCCTGCTCCCATCTCCTCCCCTCTGGCCAGTGTCCGTCCAGGAAGGGGCGGGCAGGAAGACTGGAAGGTTCCTGGAGTGGGCAAGTCTCTGCCCCAAATGTCACCTCCTCTCCCAGCCGCACTTTCTCCAAGGACATGAGAAAAGGGCCTCCCCCGCCTCCTGCAGACCCGTCATCCTGGGAGAGCCCTTTCTCCTCACATGGGACCACCGCGGCTTGGTCCAGGACCCACCGTTGGCATGGAAGCTGCGGCCCTATCTGAGAATGCGGCTCACGAGGAGGGGAGCTCGGACTGCAGCCAGATCGGGCAGAACACCGAGTTCACACCCCAGAAACTCTGATACACAGAAAGGAGACACCAAAGCGAAGGGGGGACTGCAGCCAACAGTACCTCTCTTAGCACCTCCATGGTGCAGAGGGCGGAAGGAGCCACGAGGGAGTAGCTGGGAGGCCCTGAACTTCCTGGCCCTCGGGTGAGTCAGGGGCTGGGCTACACCTGAAGCACAGTGACTCGTAAGACAAAGGCCACACACGTGAAGAATGCAGTGCAGAGGGAGACAGTGGGTTACGGGGCACAGAGGAGGGCGCCCCCCATTCTATCTGGGAGGGGGGACATTTGAGCTGGATAGGCTGGGTCACGTTACTGAAGGACAGGGGAGAACAGCCAAGGGGACTTGCTCATGAGTCACCGATCCTGGGGGGTGGGGAGCAATAGAGGAGGATGAAAATGCAGGCAGGGGCCTTGACAGGCCTATAGAAAGGGACTGAGCTTTATCCTGCAAACAGTGCGGTGGAGGAACATACATGACTTTGTCCTGATTATTGGAAGCTGTACATCTTTATCATAAAAAACTGGGGGAGAAATAGCAAAAGGAGAAAGAAGAAAATTAAAATCACTCGGATGCCAACTACCCAGAAATAACCACTGTTAACATTTTGATGTTTTCCCTGCAGATTCTTTTTTATAAAGAGAACTTTAAAAAGAAGATATGTATGATAAATATAATATGTAACATACAGGCATATTAATTATAGCAAAATGCATAGTTCATATTAAAAGATTATGTTATATTAGAACATCTTCTGAATTCAGAGAATATAGATTAACATACAAGTTGTTTTATAATAATTTATTTTTTAAAGATTATTTATTTATTATTTGACAGAGAGCACAAGCAGGGGGAGAAGCAGACTCCCCACTGAGCAGGGAGCCTGACGTGGGGCTCGATCCCAGGACCCTGGGATCATGACCTGAGCCGAAGGCAGATGCCTAACCGACTGAGCGACCGAGGCACCTCATTTTATAATAATTTAGTATAATATGTGTGCTTTTTACTTTTAATTTTTTTGGTTTCTTTTTTTTTTTAATTTTTTTTTAAGATTTTATTTATTTGCCAGAGAGAGAATGAGAGACAGAGAGCATGAGAGGGAGGAGGGTCAGAGGGAGAAGCAGACTCCCTGCTGAGCAGGGAGCCCGATGCTGGACTCGATCCAGGGACTCCAGGATCATGACCTGAGCCGAAGGCAGTCGCTTAACCGACTGAGCCACCCAGGCGCCCATTTTTTTGGTTTCTTTAACGATTTTATTTTTAAGTCATCTCTACACCCAACATAGGGCCAGAACTCATGACCATGAGATCAAGGGTCACATGCTGCACCAAAACTGAGCCAGCCAGGTGCCCCTATGTGTGCTTTTAAAAAAACTAAATTGAGATTATACAAAGGGGGAGTTTTAAATTTTATTTATTTTTAATAGACAACACATCCACGTGCTCCATAATTCAAAAGGTCCAAGAGCACATATAGTGAAAATGTCCCTTTCACCCCATCCCCCCCGCAGCTGGCTCCCCTCCTTGGAGTCAGTGAATGTTGTAAACTTCCAGGGACTTTATGCGCAGACAGGATAAGCACATCTTACCTTCTCCCCCGTTACACAAATGCTACACAAGTGTTAGGCGCTCACTCTGCATCCCCCAGCTTTTACTAAATACATTTTGATACTATTTCCTATCAATATATAAAGAGTTTTCTCATTTTTTATGACTATATAATATTCCATGATATGGATGGATGTATCTAATTTCTGCCTCTTCTTAGTCATTCGGGTGGCCCGCAATCTTCTGCCTACACGAACAGTGCTGCAATAAATAACTTTGGACACGCGTCATTTTGCATAAGAACACCTCTATCCCGGGATAACCTCCTGGAAGTGCAATGATGATGACCATGATGATGAAGGGATCGCAGGTCAGGGGTCAGGTACAGTCATAAGTGTTGATGGCTGATGCCAAATAGCCCTCTGCAGAGGGGACACCAATTGCTTTAAAATGTCCCTCTTTGGGGGCACCTGGGTGGCTCAGTCATTGGGCATCTGCCTTTGGCTCAGGTCATGATCCCAGGGTCCTGGGATTGAGCCCCGCATCGGGATCCCTGCTTGGCGGGAAGCCTGCTTCTCCCTCTCTCACTCCCCCTGCTTGTGTTCCCTCTCTCACTGTGTTTCTCTCTGTCAAATAAATAAATAAAATCTTTTTTTTTTAAATGTCCCTCTTTGGATGTAAATGAGGGATGAAAGCAGGTGTGAACTTGGAGGGCAAGAAGGCTGGACCTGCTGCGGGCAGGGGGACAGGAAGGGTGGTCCAGGAGGCTCTGCCATTGAGCAGGAGAAACCCACCTGGGACTAAACCATGGGTCAGAACCGCCCAACAAAGACGGTGGATGGAGCTGGAGCTGCGGCTCCAACACGTTCTGGACAGAGACATGAGTGGGCATTCGGAAGTGAGTGTGTGGAGGTCTGTGATGGGGCGATGGGGTGACGGGGTGACAGGGTGGGTGGGGAAGCCCCATCTGTCTTGAAGGGACAAGTAGGATAAAAACAGCCAAACAGAAGGAAAGAGCCCCTCAGATTTCAGGAACCTCCAGTTCCCAAACTGTCGAGATATTTATGAGCATGAAACTGAATTTGGTTCATTCTCCTGTGTTCTGACAAACATAAACACAGACACATTAAGAAGGAATTGAAGGGGCACCTGGCTGGCTCAGTCAGTGGAGCATGCGACTCTTGATCTCAGGGTCGTTGGTTCGAGCCCCATATTGGGCATAGAGATTACTTTAAAAAAAAAATAGGGCGCCTGGGTGGCTCAGTTGGTTAAGCGACTGCCTTCGGCTCAGGTCATGATCCTGGAGTCCCGCGATCGAGTCCCACATCGGGCTCCCTGCTCAGCGGGGGGTCTGCTTCTCCCTCTGACCCTCTTCCCTCTCGTGCTCTCTGTCCCTCATTCTCTCTCTCAAATAAATAAATAAAATC